AAAAATGTTAATAAATCAGCCAAAAAATACATCTCATAAAAAAGAGAGTGGAAATTTGAGATACTAATTATCAAATTTGGTGCATAGAAAAACTTAGAGTTCTTGTTTACTTTGTGAAAACATTCTCTTTTTATGTTAGTTTTACTTTACTTGTTAACAAAGAAAATACTCTTGAAGTGAAAATTGTCATGCATTTCCGGAAGCAATGGAAATGTCAAAGGAGTTATTTCCATTTGTTAAGAAATGTGGTTGGGCCTAACTCAACCCTACAAAACCGGTTGGTAGAGTGAGGATTGCCCCCACTTATAAACACATGTTCATGTCATATATTGTCCGATGTGGGACTCTTAACACCCCCTCATGCTCAAGACTGGACAATTGAAGCGTGAAAATAAATGGTTGGTGGCCCGATAATGGAAACCATAGAAGGTGGCCCACCGAATCTTAAACGAGGCTCTTATACCATGTTAAGAAATGTGGTTGGGCCTAACTCAACCCTACAAAACCGGTTGGTAGAGTGAGGATTGTCCCCACTTATAAACACATGTTCATGCCATATATTGTCCGATGTGAGACTCTTAACACCATTATTTTCTGAAATACAAAATCTCTGGATATCACTTTATCTTCTCTCCAACGCAATGACTCACTTTAAAGTCTCTTTTCTTCTTTGTACCAAGTAAACTAACACAAATTTTAGGAAATGAAAAATAGAAAATGTTTTCACAAAGTGAACAGGCAGGCCCTTAGTTGTCTAGTCTTAAATAAGAATACAACTTTTTAGCCCAACTTATGAGATAAAGAAATAAGGAAGAAAATGGCAATAATAAATCTGATGGTTTTCAGCCATACCAATATTCGCTTAAACTTGGTATCTTGCAGACGAGTGTGCTCCAGGTGCAATAGATCGGAAGTGATATCATTAGCTGAGTAAGTACCAAATAGTGTATTAGTAGATACAAATCAATAGGAAAAACATGAACTACAAAAAGGAACAACCAAAGTAAATAATTTCAATGATCATTTAAGCTTCTGGCAGCGCATCATATACTGCAGAAAATTTGATTTATTTTTCATTGAATTTAAACATCACAAAAGCACAAATGCACACCAAATGAGACATCTAGATAAGATAAGCTTTGTAAAACTGTGTCAATTAATAGAACTAGCACATATAGCATGTTTATTGTATGTATCTCCTTGCTAATGCATGTCACTAATAGCTTATTTGGCCTGACCTTTTCTCCATCTCCTCAAACGTAGTTGAGCCAAAGATATTTTCCTTTAAAAGATGTAAAACTGAATAAAAGGGGCTTCTTGAGAGCTTTTCGGAGATTTTTTTAAGAGTAACATCTACGAAGCTAAATTGTCTTCCTTTTATGTTTATTCCCTTTCTCCTTTAGGTATTCCTGTGACTTGTGAGACTGCAACCATCAGCTAGTCTTATAGCCTATTTCTTGTGTGCCTTTTCCCCAATTGCTCTTTCCATGCTCCCACCTTCTTTAGTTCTTCCTTAATCTTTTCTGCTAGAATATATTTTTGTTTTTTTCTTGACTGTTTCCTTTATTGTTTTGTTTGGGATTATCCTTCTTTACCTTTGTAAGTTTTCTCCTCTTCATCTCATTTTTCTTTTTTCTTTTTTTTTTAAATGACTTTACTTGTTGAAGTTTTGGAAACTTAAAAAATTCACGAGTAAAATTGTAAAGCTTGTGTGAAGGGGCAGTAGGCATATTGAATAATTATAACATGGGGGTATTGGTTTGATAAAAACTAAGACAAGGGATTTAAGTGTAGTGAAGCAAAGGTTTTGAAAACTGCAGGAGACGTCAGGGTAATAGTATATACATTAATTTCCTGTTTAACGACAAAAAAAGTGAACCTAACCTTGCAGATACTACCATATGCATTTAATTCATTATGGATAAACTGACATGCATTAACAATCGTCACGAGTAAATAAGCTTCTACTTTTAATTCATTGTTTAAATCCATGAAAGTTATACATTTAATTCATTATGGATAAACAGACATGCATTAACAATCGTCACAGCAGGGAGTAAATGAGCTTCTGCATTTAATTCATTGTTTAAATCCATGAAAGTTACATACCCGTTCTTCTGTAAGCAGATTCGTGCAGACCGAATAATGGGAAATCTGTATCACCATTTTCAGTGTAGCTTCTTCTAAGTGAGTTCCCCGAAGAGTTGGCCGATTCCAGAGGAACAACAACTGCTGCCATATTGTCCATACTGCCCTTTTCAAAGGCAGCATCAATAATTAAATCTGCTAATGAATAGGAAGATGAAGAGGTGCACTCTGATCTCATGTCACTAAAACGGTGTACTTCCCACAACAAATCACAGACATTTTGCACACTCAACTTCTCAAAGACCCCATCAGATGCAGCCACCAAGTAGCTATCATTAGCAGTTAGAGGCTGCCAATCAGTCACTTCTGGTGCAGATATAACTCCATAACTGTTGAAAGTTCATTATAAGAAATGTGTTAAAATTTCAATACATAATTGTAAAAGAAAGTCACCCTGAAATTTTAATTTTGTTAGCCCCACACGCATTAGTGTTTTGGTTTTGAAGCCTGGACAAAGCAGACGTCCTTCCCTAGCTTTTTAAAATTTAGTTTTAATACAAGACCGATAGTTGATTTAAATTTGTATCTCTATTAAAGGAACTGGTATTAATCAATCCACATTGTAATTACTGTGCACTAGCTGCACAGTGTGCATAGTACTATAGTCTATCTATCTGCCCCTAACTAACCCCTAAAATCTAAGAAACTAATCCCTAGATTTAAGGAGCCTTGTAACTAACTCAGTTGAGATCTATGGTTCTATAAATAGATGAAAATCCTTTGTAATCACAATTAACAAAAATACAATACAGAAATCAAAAGAATTCAGTTGAGAATTCTCTCATCACATTCATGAGGAAATAAAAATTCTAACAATCTCCAACATGAACCGTGTTGCACATGACATAAGGCTGCAGATACACTTGATAAGTTGATATAAGCTTGGAGTATATGAAAATAATTTCAACTAAACCAACCTTTTAAATAGCACATCACCAATAGCTCGTGTAATGGCCAGCTGACCATTTACGCGAGGCAAACCACCCCAATTTAGAACTTGACCACCAGCAGCTTCCACCCGAGTTCTTTCATCCTCTCTGTCTGGATGATGATCCCTAGTCAATTCCTTCACTGCAAAATGATTGAGCCCGCGGGAAGAAGCTAATCTGTACTTTTCACGATCCCACACAGAAACAGAACCATCACGCTCTGTCTGCCTATATAGCTTTAATAAGGAGGCTACAAAAAAAATATTAAAACTAACAACAATAGTCATGTTTTCTTTAAATAAAAAGTATGCCGGTCACCTTATCATAACCACACACAATATTATATTTATATTTATATGTTTAGACAGAAGCAAGGAGCAACAATATAATATTTATGCAATATCGTAATAAAGACATGATAAACTTATATCTTTAATAATGGAAGTTTGGTTATACTGTATTTCATAATCTTTCTCACCTTTAGCTTCCTTAGGAGACTGAAAATTTTCAGAGCACAAGAAAGCCTTAGAGTCTCCAATATTTGCAACCAAAAATTTATCATCTGCAACCAATACAACTGTCGCTGTAGATCCTGAATGAAGGTTATTTCTAGAGGCTTCCTTCATAGTCCAATTGAAAGATATCAATAAAAGAACACACACAAAACTGTATCAAACAAAATTTTGTAAAAGTGAACTAAAATTCAATCTTACCTCAGAAAACTTTACATCAATATCATGGATTGCTCTCAATAATGATTCCTTCAAAATTTCCAAGTGGAAAGAATCATCAAAATTAGCAGAAAATACATTCCGCAACCTGTAAAAGTAATTCTTGATGAGATACAGACATACAAATGTGAGAAACTAAATTCTGTTATAGCTGCAATTACAAAACCACCTTTCAGAATGCAGTTCATGCCATTGCCAACCTAAAATCTCTTTCCATCTAAGCACATGGTCTCGCCTGTGAAGCAATGTTCCTGTCGAAGTCTTTGATATAACAGAGTACATGGCATCCAGAAGAAAATAAGTATGCAGAACAAAATACTCCATCAAAAGTTTCGACGCCATCTCACTAGCTTCGGCACCGTTATGACCATCGAAAACCGCCACAATTCCAACTACAACCTCTCTGATCCCCGTCGGACCTACTCCAGCATCAAACACATAGAATCAGAAATAAATCCTCTGGAACATGAACCAGAAAAGAAACTGGAATAGTGAATAGTTTACCGGGAAATGGAATGCGAACATCGAGCACACAGAGAGTGCGATCCTCTTGTGATTTTCTTCGACCCTGGAGCATTGACGACTGGCAACGCGTTGTAGTTTGACGAGGAGAATCGTAATCGAAGAGTCTCCAACGGGGGCATTTTGGGGATTGGAACACCGCGGGAGCACCGCCGTTTTTGTAAACCGTCAAGCACGTGGACGATTCACCGTCAACGAAGAGAATTACGGTTGAAAGCAGAAACCCTAACGCGAAGAATAGGTAATTCGATGAAATCCTTCTACTCATGTCTGAAAAGTTCAAGCACCGAGTTTCTTTTTTCAATATTTCAATTCTATTACAATCAGATTTTCCGATTTTTCGCCAAAACATGTAGTATCGCGCCTTTTTTTTTACCGGTCACGTTTAATTGGTTAGGTCAGGGTTGTTTTGGGAAAATGCTTTTTTCTTTTTTTTTTTTTTTGCTAGTTTGATCCTTCTCTCTGTAACATCTAGAAATCTCCATTTCATTCAACTGCTACACGAAAAGGTGTTAAATCAATTTTATTAGGATATCCAGAACCTTCTATTCAATTATTATCTTACAGCACACTCATTAATACTATTTTGCTTATGAATGTATAAAATTCTTCAAACCGCTCACTATATGATCTAAGACTTATATATGCTATTTTGATTGACATTGAATAAATGTTCTCTGTGAAAGAAGAATACATGGAGCCATTTTCATCATCATTTCAATTTGGATATGAAAACCAAGCATTGATTCTACCACCCAAACCAATTGAAGGACTTCATGAAACTAGACCCCAACCATTCCTCACCAAAACATTTGATGTAGTGAATGATCAAAGTACCAATCATGTAGTTTCGTGGACCAGAGGTGGCACCAGCTTTGTGATTTGGGATCCACACGTCTTCTCTAATGATCTCCTTCCTAGATACTTCAAACATAGTAATTTCTCAAGCTTTGTCAGACAACTTAACACTTACGTAAGTAATACCGTCTAAATAAAACATTTTTTTTTAAATTTCTCCTACTTGCTTTTGTTGTTTGTTTCTTCTGATTACTAATTTCTTATCTAGCATAGTTACTTGTTTTTTTTACATGAAAAAGAGAGAATCTGATTCAACTGGTTGAGCCGTGAACCGGTAATAATACTAGTATCTATGTATGGTTTGGTTATTTGAGCAACTTGATCACGGTTTCGTCTGTTTGAGCGGTTTAAAGCAGTTGAATGATCTGTATTTGCTGCTAGTTTGGTATCTGGGTCGGATTTTGAAATATTGTTTATATGACAATTGAAGTTCAAATTTATTATTATCAGCTATGTTTCTCATACTGATTGTGGACTTGTGGTGTTCAATATTTTGCAGGGTTTTAGGAAAATAGATCCACATAAATGGGAGTTTGCAAATGAAGGATTTCTAAGAGGGCACAAACATTTGTTGAGGAACATACGGAGAAAGAAGGGACCTTCTCAGCCTGTTGACTGTTTTGGACTAGATGCGGAAATTGATCGTTTAAGGCAAGAGAAACAGGTATTGATGAAGGAGGTTGTGAGTCTTAGACAGAAGCAATATAAGGCCACACTGTACCTTCTAGAGATGGAGCAAAGGTTACAAGGGGTGGAAATCTATCAGAAACAAATGATGACGTTCTTAGATAGAGCTATGAAAAACCCTGCAATAATTCAGAAACTACTCCAACAAAAAGAGAAGAAAAAAGAGCTTGAAGAAACCGTGGCCAAAAAGAGAAGGCTAATTGTAGGTGAAGAAAGACGAAGCAATGTTAAAGTTGAGCCTTTAGAATTAGGTGATTGTGAATTTTCTATGTCGGAGTTGGAATTGCTAGCTACGGAAATGCAGGTTTTTGGAAGGGGGGAAATGGACAAGGACAATAAGCCTGAGGCACTAGAATTACAAGAGAGGATGAAAAGAGTACTTGATGATGAAGGGTTCTGGGAAGAACTAATGTTTAATGTGGAATATGAGGGAAGATTTGACATTCCAGCTGCTGAAGATAATGATGAGAATGAAGACAATTCAAGTGAACTACTGAATCGAGAATTTAAGATTAGCTCTTTTCCTTAAATTCACTAGTTTCAATGCTTCCAAGTCAATGTTAACAGTCGTTGGAGCGGAGTTATCTTAATTGGCAAGCAAGACCATAAAATTACATGCAGAAGAAAATAATTTACTTGTTGGAGTTTCTAATTCTAATTCTATAATATGTTCATTTGTAGCACTTGTTTAAATACAAATTCTCTCACTTTTCTCTGTTTGATTAGGTAGGTTGCTGCTATGCCGGGACAAGATTCCTTGACAGCAAAAATTGTCACTAGTTATGCCACGGGCTCGAGGTTCAAGTTTTTACCACCAGGCAGCTATATATGTGTATACCCGTTGTAATTTGATTATTACCTTAATGAATGTAGATTATTAAGAAGATCTAGAATGGACAAGAAGTAGCTGATCTCCAACAAGCATAACTGAATGAACATTAAAATATATCTCCGCAAGGCTATGACAGGTCTATACCTCTTCGATATTAGATTTACTATTATTAAATTCGACCAAGGAGTGCTGGGGCATATATGAGTTTTAATCAAAATCTTTTTGTTTCAATTTTTCAAATCAGAATTCTTAGTATTCTTGTTTGTTCTGATGCAACTGTTCACTTTGGATTGCAGTTCCTGTTTATTACATCTATGAAGGAGGAAGCATTTTAGGGGCATCCAAGAATTTTTTGCTAGCAAACTTAGTGCTAGGATGGCTGTCATAGATAATGTAATGGAATTGAAGAAGAATCTCTTGTGCAGAAGCTTTAGCACTTAAGCAAATTGATTGCAAAATGTGATTTATATTGTATAACACTCAAACTTGGTTGCTTGTAATATGATATTGTATAGCTGATTATGAAATATGGAATCTAGATGAGAATTCTGAACAATGTTTGTGATCTTGCAAACCATGTCTTCTAGTCCATCATCAATCTACACCAACTTTTTTCATTCTGGACTCACTTAACATGTATAGTTTCACACATCCACAAGCCCATGTTGTATCGCACAACAAATTCCTTAAGATGTCCCCTTATTGTATCAACATGTAGTGGATTTTCATTCACATATTCAACACAGCCAGTCAAAGATATGTTTGACATCAAATCGTCCTTAAGCTACATTTTTGAGGTATTGTCCTGGTGTAATAATATATTTCTGAGTTTTATAAAGGTGTCTCATTTTATTGAATTGAAGAATGCAAATATTGTGTATAAATTACTCTTAATTTAGGTTAGTCTAGGAGCAAGTCAACCAAAGCCTTGTCTTAGAAACAATCTAAGATCCCTACAATTCATATGAAAATATTATTCTATTTTTTGAACCTTTAAATTAAAAATTTCTTTTAAAAAATCTTCGCAAATCTTTCAAGTATTCTTCATGTAACACCACTAAATAATATATATATATATATATATATATATATATATATATATATATATATATATATATATATATATATATATATATATATATATATATATATATATATATATATATATATATATATATATATATATATATATATATATATACATATATATATATATATATATATATATATATTATATATATATATATATATTATATATATATATTTAGAATAATATTAATATGATATTGATACATCTAAACGGCATCGAACACTTATGTTCAAATACATATAATAGTACAAAAACATGATACTGATACATATGATATTGATACATCTAAACGGCATTGAACACTTATGTTCAAATACACATAATAGTACAAAAATATGGCACATGATATACATAAATGTCTAACAAAATATTACGAATCACACAATGGATAACAAAAGAAACATCAACATCTTCATAGTCTTTAGGCAATCTTGCTCTTATTTTTCTCCTCTCTCGAACTACCTTAAATTCAACAACATAAATGGAATAAGATATTAATCTCAGTGAATTTTCCTATCTTATGAGTCTACTTGACTCTACAATGTTATTATCCTCTTCGCATTTTATTAGCACTACACTCACATGCTACTAAATAAAATTGAGGATCAAAGCATAACAACCTCATAAACAAGCGAAATTATTAAGGAGATTATTAAGGAGATTTCTTCCCCCTTTTGATAGGACAAAGTTCACTAAATCGGTATCTAGAGGTTTCTTTCAGTCCTATTGTTGGGTCTTACTCTCCTACATTTCAAACTACCAATTTGGCAAAATGTAGGAGTCAAATTACCACTTAAGAAATTCACATGATCTCGGGATAAATACACCGATTTCTATCAAAGTTTAAAGTGTAGACACTTCTGCATTTCCTTACCATCAGATTCTCCATTAACCCTAGGTTTCACTCGCTTACCAAGTAATATCTCTTTGGCAAGCTCATACACACATACATACATTTCAATCATGAGGGTTTTTATTCACACCTAACTGATCCAATTAATCGTAATGCCACACATTTCAAGTTATGTATGATATCAAGAGTTTTATGCCCTTACACCAGCATATAACCTTTTATATTTCAACCACTATACAAATATGTTCTTATAACCTAGTAGCGTTTAATATACTATATTCCGCACTCGGTGATTTTCAAAGTGTTTCCATCAATTCTCTTACACCAATTAGCATACGAGACGATGTGTCTCTAAAATCAACTAGGATACTTCCATACAGGTTCATAGCATTTCATCGTAATTCGTATGCTATTCTCTTTTAACTCACAAGAATATAACATTTTGAAGTTCCATTCTTGAAAGGACAAATGTTAGATCAGATGTTGAAACAATTTGTCCAACTTCTAAATCAATTTAAGCACAGTTTGACAACAATAATAAATAATGCAGAAAGCTGTTAAAAAACACAAGAGATTGGTAAATCCATTTCATTGAATCCACTTCGAATTAGAACAATAGTCTTATAAGAACCCCAAACCCTATGAAATTTTATGTCTCTTTCTAATCCTAGTGACTTTCTATTTAGATCTCTCCTTAAATATGAGAATTTCTCCCACTTTCTTTTAATCACTATGTAATAAATTCAATAAACAATTTTCAAGAATGTTGAATAGAACTCAATTAAGCAATATATTGAGAATAATGTTAGAGAGAGAAACTTTCTCCTCTCTCTAGCTTGGCGCGTTACTAAGGAACAAACTATCGTTTACCAACCAAAAGAGTAAAATGGAATGGAGTTGTGTTAGAAGCAGGAGAGACAAACATAATGTTAAGGGAAAATGAGACTCATATCATGGAGCTGGAGGGACAAAGGAGGAAGAAGTGAATAAGACTCATTCTATCTACTTCTCTGAAATCCCGGAGAAAGTGAAGGCAGCAATTTTTTTCGGTTTGTTTAGAGAATACAACAAGGTTAAAGAGGTGGTCATCCCTCCTAAGAAGAACAAATTTGGCAAACGTTTCGGCTTTGCAAGATTCACTGATGTTGATGATGTTAGGGTTCTCGCCTTGAAGCTGGATAACATCTTCATAGATAATGTTAAAATACATGAAAATATCCATAGGTTTCAAAGACTAGACAAAGGTATTGAGGGAGACGGGAAGACGAATCGAGGTTATCGGGAAGAGTCTGATATACCTGTACCGTTCAGAAGGAGTTATGGAGCTGCAAATGTTAAAGTGGGAAACAAATCATTTGCGGAGGTCGTAAACAATAATAGGAACCCTTCAGGCTTTGTTCAACCTAAGAAGACGACAGTGCATTTGAAGTTTAACGTACTTGAGAATAGGGACGGCAACGGGGCGGGTCGGGGACGGGTTTTACTATACCCGCACCCGCCTCCATGTAACACACCCGCCCCCGCCCCCAAACCCAATCGGGGGTAAAAATTTACCGTCCAGACCCACCCCCACCCGAAAAAAAAAATTTCTTTTTAATTGCAATAAAAATTAATAATTTAATTAAAAAATTGATTATTTTAATAAATTAATTATTTATTTAATTAAAAATTTAATTAATAAATGAATATTAATTTGATTAATTTAATTATTTTAATTGCAATAAAGGTATTAATAATTTAATTAAAAATATAATTAATAAATGAATATTAAAATAAGTAAAATAAGAGAATTAAACTAAAATGCATTATTCGGGGTTCTCCCCGCACCCATAATTAAAAGTCAGGTTTTCCCCGCACCCGCACCCGTACCCACTCAAACCGGGTTTTCCCCGCTAATTTCGATGTGGGTCCAGGCGGGCCCCGACGGGTCTGAGTTTTTTTGCCATGCCTACCTGAGAAGGAGCTCGTAAGGTTTAATGAGGCCTACATAGGCGTGGTGCTAAATTCAGGTATGACATATAATATACAAACGAGTTTTGTGATTGAAGGTTTTTTCTATCAAGGTTACTCCTCACAGAGCGAACCTTTGTCTTTTGGAGGAAAGTGAACCAGGAGAAATCAGAGACTTTATAAGAGAAGCAGAAACTTGGTGGAAACAGTGGTTCTCGAAAATTCGAGAATGAAAGGAAGACGTCGTAGATAAAGAAAGAGTAACCTGGCTGAGATGTTATGGCATCCCTTGCCAAGCTAGGAACTTTTCATTTTTCCAGATGTTGGCCAAAACGATAGAACACTATATTTGCATGAATGATAACACCTAGAAAGGAGAATGTATGGATATAGCAAGAATGATGGTTAGAACTCATTGTGCGGTTATGATTAATGATAACTTCAAGATTCAAATCAACAACAACATTTTTAGCATCAAGATAACAGAGGATTCATATGGCCCACTACGTATCATTGTTAAGGATTCTGATAAGTGTAAAATGAACCCTGTAACATCTTCTGATTCGGAGGGATCATGGAATAAGTATGGTGAAGAGGAGGAAGGAGTCGAAACATGGAATTTGGTAGAATCTAGTGAGAAAATAGTAAACTTGGAAGAGTCTTATTCTTCTCCGGTCAATTCCACGACTGAGATTAGGCTTAAGAAGGTTTTTGGTAGGTCTGATGATTTGAGAAAGCCTACTCTTGGTACTGAGGAGAGAGTAGTTGACTTTATTGATAAGACACTTGATTTTGACGTAGCGA